AGTAAGAGTATCTACAACATCAAAAAAAAAGTAGCTAAAATGAGTGTGGTTCCTTTAAACAATGAGTCTGGGGAGCTAGTGATGGGAAATAAGAAAATAGAAGAAGAGTAGGTGGCACAGTGGCTCAGTAGTTAGCACTGCTATTCACAGCGCTAGGGACCCGGGTTCAAACCCAGGCTCAGGTGACGGTCTGTGTGGGGTTTGCACATTCTCCCCACATCTGTGCACGTTTCATCTGGCTGCTCTGATTTCCTCCCACAGTCCAAAGATGTGCAGGTTAAGTGGATTGGCCATGCTAAGTTGCTCTGGGATGTCCAGACTACATGGATCAGCCATGGGAAATGTACGGTAATGGGGATGGTCTGGGTGGGATGCTCTTCAGAGGTTCAGGTGGACCTGATGGGCTGAATGGCCTGCTTCCACACTGCAAGGATTCTACTAATTGAATGGATATTTTGTGTATGTCTTTGCTGTAGAAGACACTAGAAACATCCGAGAAATATTTGCAAATCAAGAGGTGAATAGAGTGAGTAACTTAAAACGATTACATTCACATGTGAGAATAGTATCAGACCGACATGCTGATGAGTCATTAGGATGTGATGGACTCAGATCGAATTTTCTACAATTCAACCAGCTAATACAGAAGTAATGGGACAGTTAGACACTATGTTCTTGTGATCAGAGAAAGGACATCAGTTCCAGCGAACAAAGGTTAGCTTCAGGAGTGTGCAAATGGAATCCTCTCATTCTTAGAAGATACTGGCATCTCCTCTATGTATGTCTGATCCATCTATTTCTATTCTAGATTTGGGGCGGCATGGTGGCTCAGTGGTTAGCACTGCTGCCTCACAGCACCAGCAACCCATGTTTGATTCCACCCTCAGGTGACTGTCTGTGTGGAGTTTGCACATTCTCCCCGTGTCTGCGTGGGTTTCCTCTGGCTACTCCGGTTTCCTCCCACAGTCCAAAGATGTGCAGGCTAGGTGAATTGGCCATGCTAAATTGCCTGTAGTGTTCAGGGATGTGTAGATTAGGTGGGTTAAAGGGGGATGGGTCTGGGTGGGATGCTCTGAGGTTCAGTGTGGACTTGTTGGGCCAAAGGGCCTGTTTCCACACTGTAGGGGTTCTATGATGATTTTAGCATTAGCAGAATCCTTTATATTGCTGAAAAAAGAGACATGCTGCCATAGCTTTTTGTCATTTTATCATCAGGACAGAATCGCAATATCAAATCTCAAAGGAAACAACTAATTATTCTGCACAATAAAGAGGATGTTAATTGGTTGGCAAGTGGACTCTGATTGATAGAGATGTTGCTATGGAGCATGTATGAGGAAACACTGAACTGTTAAGCTTTGTTTCAATTCAAACCATGCAAGTCAACTCTGATTGGTAGGTATTTATGAACACGCTTGATGAATTTGTCTTCCTTCTTCAACTATTTACCTTTCCATTTTGGAGCTGTTTATTTCATCCACTGTCTTTCCAGTTGTTGCTTTGCATACCCGAATAGATTTATCTCTGAACAGTAAGGCATCGAAATGACCTTTAGTGGATATTTTCAGCATTTTAAAAACAATTTACATGCAACTGATCTCCTAATTTGCCTTCGTCCATGCTATTTAAAAGCTTTCTAGACCTGAACCAGTTTTTCTTCTTCTGCCTTGTTTTGGTGAGTCACATAGAGGGACTGTTCACCTGACCTTACTAATATAGACCAATCATTTCACACAGAATATTAATCAATAATTGACTTTACAAAGCTGATTGACCCGCTGCATCTTTCCCTCTTTGTTTTTGTTCTGGCAATGTCTAGCAATCAGCCTAATACCTCAGAAGTACTTTGATGAACAGTCCAAAGCATCATGCCTGATTGTGACAATTAACTGATTACAAGATAAATAGGAATATCTTAATGAATCTGAAGCCAAAAGTGCATTTCTGAGTTACTGATGACTACTCTTTGCCAATTCAGTCCCTCTTCTAAAAGGACAGTTTAAAACAAAACAAAATTGATTTTTTTTCATAGTGAACATATGTACATTTTGTTGGGTCTAGTGTGCCTGTTGCTTTTGGATGTATTAATTACTCCCCTTCCACTGAAAAGAAAATCAAATTTCTATGTTAAGGTGTAACAACCCACTCCACCATCCACCTCCACGCCCACACCATTGTACACTGTTGTCTCTGGTTGTGGCAGATGAAAGCCAAAACCTACCATATACAGGACCAGGTCTATTCTCCTGCCCATCTGGTAGATCTTGACAGGCTAAAGGCAAGGATACACAGAGATGATCGAAGATTTTCAGTCTTAATTAATTTTGGCAATCAGTGAATTTATTGATAATGACTTGTGCTCTTCTCCATTAACCTCACATAGTGTTTTTATTTTACAGCTAAATAGTATCCTTATTTATAATCATATTTTACAATTTGCATTTTATATAAAGAAAAAGTAATTCATTTCAATATCAAAAATCATTTTACTAGCTACCAAAGGAAATTCTTAGTATTACACGCAATTCATAAGAGCTTGGTAACACTCCATCTGTGTTGAAACAAAGTAAGACATTGTTTTTATTTTTGTACAGCGATCATGAATATATTCTTGAGTAAATTAAATGTAAACTATCAACACACGGATAGAAGTCTTCCAAGGAACTTAAAACATTGACATTGTTGCAATGATTCTGTCCCACGTTAATATGAAATAATATTTATTACACAGAGCAATAACTTGATATTTAGAGTATTTATTGTAGGACACAAATCAATTATGTTGTAGCTGCTTTGTGCCTAAATTAGATGGCCCTCAGGAAACCCCGAGCTTGATGTCTGGGATTCTGAGCTCCACACTACAGGTGTGGTTTGTGTTCATTATTCTTAAATTTCCCAAATGTCTCTTCTACCTGAGTCATTATAAATTAAATAATTCATACTTGCAAATTTTAGATGTACAAAATCTTTGGCGCTTGTAAAATTACCATTTTGTGTTACTGGCAAAGGCCATTTTCACTGTCATTTACTGCTTTTCTGAAACCAATTCCTATTACTTTATCCTGTTTTAAAATGTAGTATCAAATACATTAGGAATTCAGAATATTGCAAGAGTCGTGAGATGCATTTCCGAAGCAGCCTTCTGGTGGTTGTTATTCGTCTTTGTCCAATGGATGTTGCCTATAGAGGTTTGCAATTGAAGGACAATGGCATTGATGTATTTTTGTATGTATGCCAGGGCGATGGTCAAAATGTTGTTAAAAAGACATAATGAAGAACATTTAGAGTGCTTGTGTGTGACAGATGTCACAAATTTACTTTTAGTCAGGTATGTTGAAAATCTGGACCTTGCTGTCTTCTGCACCATAAGCATTTAGCTGATCTGCTGAAATGTAACGTTCTCATTCTTTTCTGCAAAATATTCAATAATTAATGATTTGCTTTCAAATTTCAGATGTTTCCACATCAGCAGGATTAGGTTTCCAATTGGGATTGTAAATTGGATGCAAAGTAGGACAGTGTTAAACATGTTTTCTTATTTGACATTGATATTTTAGGACTTGTAATTCCATCTGGTTTACAGTTCTTCAGATCAGTGTCCCATGAGGAATACATCTCTCAAAGGACTGCTCATTTCAGTGGACAGATGAATGGCTCAATAAGGCAATGAGCTACACAAATAAGGAAGGACTCAAATTCATTCTGCCTCAGCTGTGGGAACAATTTCAGTGAGCCAAGTGAGGAGAGATACCTGCTCGGATTACATGCATCAGCAGGTTAACATCAGGATAGGTCAAAGAACTTGTTATAACACACAATTTATGTAACAATGAGAAGTGGACATTTGCACAATGTCCAAGGGGTAGAAATTTGTTTTGGGTGGTATTGAATCAATCACATGCCATACCCCTTCCTGATATTCAGTTTCCATAAGACCATAAGATATAGGTGCATAAGGAGGCCATTCTGATCCCACCATTCAATGAGATCATGGCTGATTAAAAATATATCCACTTTCCTCACTATCCCCATAACACTTGATTCCTTTACTGAATAAAAATATGTCCATTTCAGCCTTGGATACACAATGATCAGCCTTGACATTCCTCTACAGTAAAGAATTCCACAGGTTCACCATCCTATGAGAGAAAAAATTCCTGTTCATCTCCATCTTCAAAAGGCTAACTCCTTATTCTAAGTTCACACCCTCTGGTCCTTGACTCTCCCACAAGGAGAAACAATCTTTCCACATCTACCCTGTCAAACACCCTAAGGATCTTAGATTTTTCAATAAGGTCAATGAGCATACATTCAACTTACTCAACTTCTCCCCATAAGAAATCCCTCCATACCTTGGATCAACCCAGTGAACCCTGGACTGCCTACCAAACCAGTATATTTTACTTTAGATAAGTGGACCAAAACTACTCTCAGTATTCCAAATGAGGTCTGAGTAATGGTTTGTATAGCTTTAGTTTTATACTCCAATCCCTTTGAAATAAAGGCCAACATTCCATTTGCCTATGCTGTTACCCTCTGAACTTGGATTTTTTTTGTGATTAAATCTTTAAGACACCCAAATCTCTCTGTGCTGCAGATTTCTGCAGTTTCTTTTCTCCCCATTTAAATTATATTCTTCCTGCCAAAGTGCAGAACCTCACATTTTTCGACATTACATTCCATCTGCCAAGTTTTTTCCCAAACACTCAACCTGTCTGTTTCATTAATGACAAGAATAAATTGAATTTATACAGCGTCCTAAACACAGTGAAAAATGCTAAGTGGTTTCAAAGTAGCGTAATCAAACAAATTTGACATCGAACCACAAGAGGAGCTATCAAGACAAGCAACTAAAAGCTTGGTCAAAGTGGGGTCTCTTAAAGAGCAGGGAGAAGTTTCTTTTTCTCTATTCGTTCATGAGATGGTGACATCACTGACAGGGCCAGCATTTATTTCCAATCCCTAATCGCCCTTGAAATGAATAGCTTGCAACAGACCAGTTAAGAATCAACCACATTGCTGTGGGTCTGGAGTAATGTGCATACCAGCCCATGTAAGAATGCCAGATTGCCTTTCCTAAAGGTCATTGGTGAACCAGATCGGTTTTTACAACAATCAATAGTGGTTACATAGTTGCCATTAAGCTAGCTTTTAATTGCACTTTTTAAACATGTTTCTTTAATGTGGCTAAGAAGTTTAGGAAGTTCAAAACTTCGGCCCTAAGCATCTGAAAGCACAGCCTCAAAGATAGAGTATTAAAATTGGGGATACACTCAAAGCCAGACTTGGACAGATATGGATATTTTGGAAAAGGCTAGTGATAGGGAGGGGTGTGATCACAGAAGAATTTCAAAAGAAGGATGGGCATTTTAAAATTGAGGCATTGCTCAAGCAGAAGCAAATACAGATTAATGAGCACAGGGGTCATTTTGAAGAGCACTTGGTAAACTGGCCAAACAGGAGCAGAAGCGACAGATATTATGAGGATTGAAGTAGGAATAACTTGGTGATGGAAAGGATTGTAATCTTAGCTCTGGGTTAAATAGGTTGCTGAGTTTATGGATGATCTGTTTCAAGTTCAAACAGTAGTCAGTGTAACTTCCAATGTGAAAGAGAGAGAGAGAAAGGACCAAGAAGTGGCCGACAAAAATAAAGAGGGAGGAAATCCAATGATGAATCTGTGGGCAAGTGTCACAGCAGTCCAGGACCCTTTGGCTGTGTAGGCCTTGCTGGTTGGGTACAAACCAATTCTGGTGCAGACTAAACCTTCTGCAACCCACAGCTTCTCTTTTTGATCAACAAAACTCAACATTATTGATGTTCCAGAAGCAAAGTTACTGCTGGCACAAATTAAGTTGAATGAAAAAAAAAATGTGCAAGAGAGAAATTACCAGAATGTTCTCTGAAAAGATTGAAAACAAAATATTGAGGAAATTGATGGAAGAGTAACATTTAAGCTATTGATTTAGTCTTTTTGCTGTCACTTTTAAATTAACTTTTTGTGAATTGTGTAATGATGTCTTCTACATAAACAACTTCAAAGTCAATAAAAGACAGTAAGAAGTTCATAAGATGTGGGAGCAGCAGTAGGCCATTCCATCCATCAAGTCTGCTCTACCATCCAATGAGAACATGGCTGATCTGATAATCCTCAACTCCAATTTTCTGCCTTATCCCATTCATTACCCTTGATTCCCTTCCTGACTAAAAATCTGTCTGTCTCAGCCTTGAATATAATTAAATGTCCCAGCCTTGACAGCCCTATGCAGGAAAGAATTCAAGAGAATCACTACCCTCTGAGAGAAGAAATTCCTCTTTATTTCTGTCTTAAATGGATGATCCCTTATTGAGAGATTATATCCTCTGGTCAATGACTCCCCCACAAGGGGAAATAACCTTTCTGCTTCTACTCTGTCATGGCCCCTAAGAATCTTGTATGTTTCAAGAAGTACTCCTCTTATAATTCTAAACTCCAAGGAGTACAGACCCAACCTCCATGACTTCTCCTCATTAGATGACCCCTCCATCACACCACACTATCTGAATGACCATCGCTGTCTGGGGCTTGGTGGCTTGTGAATATTGTTCAGGATGCGGAGAAACAGACCACTTTCTAACTTTAGACATTCCACATTAGCATTCCAAGATCAGGAACAGGAGTAAAGTTTTCGGCTCAACCATATGCCTTAGACCCAATCTCTAATTGGTCTGTTTGTTTTTTTTTCTGTATTCATTCACAGGATGAGGGCGTTGCTGGCTGACCCAGCATTTATTGCTTCCTAATTGCCCAGAGGGCAGTTAGGAGTCAACCACATTGCTGTGGGTCTGGAATCACATGTAGGCCAGACCAGGTAAGGATGACAGTTTCCTTCCCTAAAGGGCATTAGGGAACCAGATGGGTTTTTCTGACAATCGACAATGGGTTCATGGTCATCATTAGATTCTTAATTACAGATATTTATTGAATTCAAATTACACCATCTGCTGTGGCGGGATTCAAACCCAGGTCCCCAGAACATTACCTGGGTCTCTGGATTAACAGTCCAGCGATAATACCATTAGGCCATTGCCTCCCCCTATTATAAAGTAAGGCTGTACAGAAGAGACAGAGTAGTGTTATCTGGGCCTCTGGATTAACAGTCCAGCGATAAATGTGTGACATTTTTCCCATTTCTGACACCAGAGGTGATCATCCACGAGTAACAAACCAGAGGATATTATGCGTAGTCGGCCCTAGTCCACTAGTGTTTGGTTCAATATTCCATCTCAGGGTTCAGAGATGAAAAATTGAATAAAAAGCAAGCCAATGTTCAACCAGACGTACATTCACAGAGAATCCACTGCAGTTTTCAAATAAGCATGGTGATAAAATCAAATCAGATAAATCCATTTTTTGGTTGCACTACAATATTTACAATATACTGAACCTTCAGTTAAAATTATTCCCTCTTGACCCATGCCAATGCTGAATTTTTAAAAAATCAATGCAAGTAAAAGTTACACATTGATGGTTCTGGAAATTTTGAATCTGCTTATAAAGCAGATTGGCACACTTACTTGAGGTCTGCTTGCTGCTGAGAGATATTGTCACAAAGGCTAAGTCAGGGGCACACTGCAGTAGTTTGACATTGATGGAAGTTGCTCAACGTCAGCTTACTGAAGCCTGCAAACCTGATATTGCCAAAGCAGATCACATTACCAAAGCCACAAATTATTTAAAAACATTCAGTAGGAAATATTTGAATGTGAAACTGAATTACATTATTATATCAAGTTCCTCAGGAAACAACTTCTGTTTAGTTAGAGCATAGTCAGGTATACTGGAAATGGCATATTCAGATCCCACTTTCTATGTGCACCTTATTAATAACTCAAAATTCCACCCTCCAATCTTTAACTTGCATTATTTTAAATCATTTGCAGCTTTAAGAGATACTCATTATTGCATAACATTATTCCAGGATCAAGGACAACGGAGGATTATATACTGAACATGGAAAACACAAAACAAGAAAATTCCAATGTAGTTATCACCCCTAATCTTTTCATTGACTGTGTTGTGTACTCTCCATCCTGCACTCGAACCATGAGCTATGATAGCATCAGGTTCACATGCTGAATAAAGGGAATGTCAAACACTTCAATAATTGGCACCTCCTGTCCAATACCAATAATTGTATCAACTGATACCCAGCAAGCATGTTTTTGTTTATTAACTCACAGGATATGAGTGGCACTGACTAGACAAGCAATCATTACCCACCTCTAATTGCCCAGGGGGCTGTTAAGAGGCAACCCACATTGCTGTGGATCTGGAATCACATGTAGGCCAGACCAGGTAAGGATGGGAGTTTCCTTCCCTAAAGGGCATTAGTGAACCAGATAGGTTTTTCAAGACAATCTACAATGTTTTCAAGGTCATTTTTAAACCCTTAATTCAGGATTGATAGCCCAAAGATAATACCAATAGCCCATGTGATTTTCATATTACTCCTTGTAAACCCATTGACCCAGCTTTCCACAAAATTAGAAAAAACATCATTTGATCTTGTATTTGCCTTTCAAGCTTAAGCTGGCTGACATCTCTGACACAAAATGCTACTTTACTTCAGCCCCAAAAGTTTTCACTATGATTATAAACATAGACCTTTTGAGGATTCAAATCTGTCCAAAAGTTCTGGCGTTCCCTAATCTTCAGTTCCAAACATTTAATTAATACAGGGTCTACTTTGGAGTCAAATTTATTCGCAAACCAATGGCCATAGTCAAGTAGCCACCTGAGCTCAGCAGAGCCGTAGATGCAGACGCTGCGGCGATGAGTTCCTGTGCAGGGTGGGTATAGCGCCTTCTCCAGGTAGCTCCACTTCACCAGCCTAACCTTACTCTGCAGATCAGTCACATCAGCCTCAGAGCGAGAGAGCTCACCTGGCACCCCAGGTACCCGGACCATGCTTGCCCAGAAGTGTTCATCTGGTGAATAGGTATCTGCGGACCAGGCGAGAAAATCTTTGGCCACCATGCTGGAGGTGATGTATTTGGTAAAGTTGTAACTCAAAACAAAATAGGCACTGCCAGTAAATACTTCAATATTGTGAGGCGCGGGGTCCTTCACAACATCAGTTTTGATGAATATCTGTCCATCATTGTTTGAATTATCTAAAAGCTCATGGTGATATATGAATCGATCTTTTTTAGTATCAGTGGGCTTCGTAGATTCCAACATGTTAGTTCCATTCAGTTTCTTCAGCTCAAATACCAATTCAAAGTTGGACCGCAATGGTAAATCTTGGCCACACAAGTTGATCACATACTTCCATTGGACAGATGATTCAAGAAGATCAGACAAGCAATTGAGATCCGCTTGTAGTCTGGAAATGTGAGCATAATGTACCAATTCCAATTTTGATGCAATGAACACATTTGGAAAGCATTTGGCTAAGTTGTCTATGGCGGATTTGAATGAAGGTGAGGATTTCTGGTCATAATGAATGCAGTATATATTCTGAGGCATGTAAATCATTTTCAAGCTTCTTTCCACCATAATAGCATCTTTATGAACTACCATAGAAAATGCCAAAGGGTACTCCTTTTCCACTTCTGAGATGAGATTGTTTCGAAATCCTCTTTGCGAAAGGTATTGATCACAGTCAGATGTCATCAACTCAACATCTTCATCTTCCAGATCAACAATATTACCCTTGCGTATTTCTAACGTTTTACCTACTTCCACTGGGCTACACTCGTAGATGGCAGTGCAGTTAATTTGAAGGTTTAATTGCAAGTACTTGCTGTTCTTTCTATTGCGCACATACTGAGAGGTGCTCCAGAAAGGTTCGACCAACCATGTTTTTCCTGAACCTGTGACCATTCCATGATTGTAGAGGAGTTTTAATACGCAGGGCAGTGCAAAGGTCAAAAGCAGTAAAACTATCTTCTTCAGCTTAAATTTCACAGTTAAATACTTGTAAAGCATTCTGCAAAACGCAAAAAACATCATTGACCGTCAGTATAATCGAATTTGGGCATCATTTATAATAGTGGTCTCATACAAAACTTCACTATTTAAGACCAAATATAATCATAGAATCATACAGATTCACACAGAAGGAAACCATGTGGCCCAGCATTTCCTAGAATCTTTCAGTTAGTCCCACTCCATCAATCTTTTCACTTACCTTTGTATATTTTTCACTTTCAAGTGATTTTGCAATTTTGTTTTAAAGGTCACTATTAAATTGACATTCATTTCCTCATCAGGCAGTGCATTCAAAATCCTAGACATTTGTTGAGTACAAAGGTTTTTCCTCTGGTCACCTCCAGTTCTTTTTACCAAATCATCTTAAATCTGCGCCCTCAGCCCTTGGAAACAATTACACTTCATTCACTGTATCTAACGCCTTAATGATCTTAAACACCTCTATCAAATAGTCTATTTGCTAGTTCTAAGGAGAATACCCTCAGCTTCTCCAGTTAATGCATGGGAACTATAACCAGGGCTAATAAATTTCTAGACTGAGCAAAGCTCTTCTGTATCCTTGCCAAAGCTTTTCCTAAAATATGGTGCCCAGAATTACACTCAGTACTCCAGCTGGGGTTGAACTAGCATGTTACATAGGTTTAGCAATAACATCCTGACTCTGTAGTTTAAGGGATGATTTATATGAGATGCTGGATTCCCCACCCCTGTCCCCAACTCTTGATTGAAATGTCCAGAGGGAGACTGCTGAGTGTATGAGCTGGTCATTTGGCATGGGCTTCCTGCAGCTAAATGCAAGTGGTGGTGATAATGGGGCCATGAGCACTAATAAGCCACTTAAAGGCCTCAACTGGCAGTCGGGCTGCCCAACCATTGGTTTACAGTCCAGGTAAGGAGATGGGCAGTGACTGCCTGCCTGCTGGATTTCACATGACACCCCTTACCCTACAACCTTCAAATTGTCTGCAGGGAGAGCATTATATCTGGCCCACTGCCTCTATCCATCATGACCAGGATCTCAAGTGCTCTTATTATTTATTTTTAGTTTAATTATTTATTTGGTCAACTTTTCAGCCACCTTCAAAGATTTCTGCTGAAACAACTCCAAATCTCTGGCTTCTTGGAGCTCCTTTAAAACAGTTCCAGTTAACTAGTACTGCATCTCTTCATATTTCCCACCAAGATGCATCACATTATCACTTCCTGTGTTTAATTTATTTACAGCTTGTTCAACTCAGTTCACCCTTGCTTTTGCAGATCACTTTAAATCTATGCCCTCTCGCTCTTGTTCCTTTTACAGGTTCTCTCTATCTACTCTGTCCGACCCATTCATGATTTTGAAAACCTCCATTAAATCTCCTCTCAGCCTTTTTCTGTCCAAGAAGTATAGTATCAACTTCTTCAATCTATCCTCTTAACTGAAGTTCCTCATACCTGGAATCATTTTTTTTAGACTAGATTAACAGTTTTATCTTTATTTCCTTTCTTGAGCTGGGGTTTAACATTTACATTTCCCCAGACTATGTATCACACTGAGGATTGGATGATTGACGTCAACGCCACGACAACTTCTCTCCCTTATTCCCCTTAACAAACTGGGACACACCCCGTACAGATTGAGTACTTTATTCATTGCCATTCTTTCTATTTTTATCTTGTCCAGTACCCTGGTAACCTCACTTGCCATGCCTGTGGCAAAATCTTTTTCTTTCATAAACACCAATGCCAAGTATTCATTTAGTACTACAGCCTTAAAATTTTAGCACCGTGGAAAATTTCCAGCACGGAAAGAGACCATTCAGCCCATCGTATCTAAACTGGCTGAATAAACTGGCTGCCTATTCTTATCCCTAGCTTCTGGTATGTAGCCTTGCAGATTACAGAACTTCAGGTGAAAATTCAGGTTTCCTTCAAATAAATTCAGCATTTCTGTCTTAGCCACCAAACGGGGGGCAAATTCCAGACATCCACTATCCTCTGGGTAAAGAAAATGTTAACAGGTCTTTCCAGACCACTCTATCCAAGCCCCTTATTATTTGGTACATCTCAATTTGTTAGCCCTCAGCTTCGTCTGTTCTAAAGAAAACAATCCTAGCTTATCCAATCTTTCCTCATAGCTGGAGTTTTCTAACTCTGACAATATTCTTTTTAATCTCCTCTGTATTATCTCTACAGAAATTCTGTTCTTCCTGTAATGTGGTGACAAGAACTGTATTCAAAACTCCAGCTGTGTCCTAACCAGTCTTTGGGGAGTTTTTGGGAGCTAGGATGTGGGTTACAAGCCACACAATTCCCAAACTCTGATCTGCACCTAGAGTCACAGACCGAAAGACCATAAGATATAGGAGCAGAAAGCAGGCCATTCGGCCCATCGAGTCCACTCCGCCAATTCAATCAGAGCTGGTAAGTTTCTCAACCCCAATCTCCTGTCTTCGCCCCGTAACCTTTGATCCCCTTAACAAGCAAGAACCTACCTATCTCTGTCTTAAACATACTCAATGACCTGGCCTCCACAGCCTTCTTTGGCAATGAATTCCATAGATTCACCACTCTCTGGCTGATGAAGTTTCCCCTCATCTCTGTTCCAAAGGGTCTTCCCTTTATTCTAAGGCTGTGCCCTTGGGTCCTAGTCTCTCCTGCAATTGGAAACATCTTCCCAACATCCACTCTATCCAGGTGTTTCAGTATTCTGTAAGTTAGATCCCCCCTCATCCATATTTCAAGTATAGACCCACAGTCCTCAAACACACCTCATATGTTAAGCCTTTCATTCCTGGGATCATTCTTGTGAACCTCCTCTGGATCTGCTCCAGGGCCAGTACATCCTTCCTGAGATATGGGGGCCAAAATTGCTCACAATATTCTAAATGTGGTCTGCCTGCAGCCTTATAAAGCCTCAGAAGTGCATCCCTCCTTTTATATTTTAGTCCTCTCGAAATAAATGCCAACATTGTATTTGCCTTCCTAATTACCGACTCAACCTGTAAGTTCACCTTAAGAGAATCCTGGACTAGGACTTCCAAGTCCCTTTGCAGTTCAAATTTCTGAATTTTCTCCCCATTTAGAAAATAGTCTATGCCTCTGTTCTTGCTACCAAAGTGTATGACCTCACACTTTCCCACTTGTATTCCATCTGCCACTAGCATGTATGTGATTTGGTCCAGGAGAGTTTCTAGCCAATGTTGACTGCTTAGACCATAGAATCTTACTGTACAGTGGAGGGCCTTTAGTCCAATGAGTTTGTACCACCAAAAACACATACTACTACTCCAGTCCCACTGTCCCACATTAGGCCCATAGCCTTGAATGTTATGACATTTCAAGTGATTATCCAAGTACTTTTTAAAGGTTGTAAGATTGCCTGCCTTAACTACCCCCACCCAGGCAGTGCATTCCAGACCACTACCAACCTTTGGGTGAAAAAGATTTTCCTGTAAACTCCTTCCTTTCACTCTAAAATTATGCGCCCTCGTTATTAACACTTCAACTAAAGGAAATTGTTGCTTTCTATTCACCCGGTCCATGCCCCTCAAAATTTTATACACCTCAGTCAGGTCCCCCCAATAACCTCCACTTCTCCAAAGAAAACAGCCTGAGCCTATCCAACTTAAGTGCTCCATCCCAGGCAATATCTTGGTGAATCTCCTCTGCAACGCCTTCAGTGCAGTCACATCCTCCCTATAGTACGGTGGCTAAAACTGCACACAGCACTCCAGCTTTGGCCAAACCAAAGTCTGTACAGCTCCAACATAACATCCCTGTTCTTATAAGCTATGCCACGACTGATAAAGGCAAGTGTCCTGTGTGCCTTCTTAACTACCCTATTAAGCTGTCCTGACACCTTCAGGGATCTGTGGACAAGCACCCCAAGATCCTTCTGTACTTCTAAGCTTCCTATTGTCCAATCATTCATTGAGTACTCCATTGTCTTGTTCCATCTTCCAAAGTGTATCAGTTCACGTTTATAAAGGTTAAATTCCATCTGATCTGACCATCTGTCCAATCCATACTTACCCTCCTGCAACCTAACACCTTCCTCCTCACTGTCAACCACCCACAGTCTTTGTGTCATCCACAAAGTTACTTATCATCCCTCCCACATTCTCATCTATACCGTTTATGCATATCAAGAAAAATAATGGACCCGGCAGTGATCCCTGTGGTACACCAGTGAACACCAACCTCCAAGTCTCACCATTAGCCTTCTATCACCCTACTCTGTCTCCGCCTTGAGGCCAATTTTGGATCCAACTTTCCAACTTACCTTGAATCCCGTGTACTTTTACCTTCTTTATCAGTCCGCCATGTGGGAAAGATCTTGCTGAAATCCATATAAATGACATCAACTTTTTACACAGACGGTATTAAGTGCCCAGAACATGCTACCAGGGAGGTGGTAGAAGCAGATAGCAATGTTTAAGAGGCATTTAGACGGCTATATCAACAAACAGGGAATACAGGGATATAGACCATGCACAGGGAGACAAGATTAGTTTAGAATGACATTGTTGCAAGCATAGACATTATGGGCTGAAGGTTGTACTGTTCTATCTCTTACGTTCCCTCATCCTCTCACTTGGGTGTCTCCTCAAACAATTCCATCAGATTTATTAGACATTACCTCCCTCTGACAACGCCATTTTGACTATCCTCGATCAAACTTTGCCTCCCAAATTGGAGATTAATTTTCTCATTCATTGTTTTCTCCAATAATTTCGCTGTCCCACCGGTCATAATTCCCTGGTTTGTCTCTATCATCCTTCTTGTAAAGTGGAACTACATTACCTGTCCTCCAGTTCTCTGGCACCTACCCATGGGTAGAGATGATTTGGAAATTTGGGTCAGAGCACCTGTAATTTCCTCCTTTGTCATCCACAACAGCCTGGGGTACAACTCATCCAGATTTGGGGATTTGTCCACTTTTAAATTTGTCAAAATCTCCAATACCTCCTTGCTTCTTTTATCAATCTGCAAAAGAACTTCGCAGTCAATCTCAGACACAACACAATATACAGCTGGAGGAACACAACAGGCCAGGCAGCATCAGAGGAGCAGGAAAGTTGATGTTTCGGGCCGGGACCCTTTGTCAACTTTCCTGCTCCTCTGATGCTGCCTGGCCTGCTGTGTTCCTCCAGCTCCACTCTGTGTTATCTCTGACTCCAGCATCTGCAGTTCTTACTGTCTCTTTCACAGTCAGTCTTCCTGAATTCTGTGCTTGCATCCTCCTTCTCCTGCTAAAGACAGATGTGAAATAATCATTTAACATTTGAATAATGTCCTTCGGCCTCACACACCGATATCCCCCATGCTCTCTAATAGGCCCTACACTTTCTCTGGTAATTCTCTTCCCCCTAAAATACTTGTAGAATCTTGGGATTCTCCCTAATCTTGACAGCCAATGTTTTCTCACGCCCCCTCTTTGCTCCCCTAACTGCTTTCTTGATTTCCTCCCTGCACTTCCCATACTCCTCTCAGGTCTTCCTTGTTTTGCTCCCTTTGTACATGTTGTATGTTTCTCTTCCTTTTTATTCAGTCCTGAAAATTCCCAGACATTCAAAGTTCTTTGGGCTTGTTGCTCCTACATTTCATCCTAAAGGTAACACAATGGGCCTGTACTCTCCCCAGTCCCTTTTTTCAAATCCTCCCACTGTTCTGCTGTAGGTTTACCCTCAGGTAGCTGTGTCCAGTCTATTTTGGCCAGATCCTGCCATTTTTTGATCAAATCTGCCTTTGTCAGCAATCACTCACTGAGAAGTATGGTTGTCACCTCGGAAATTTCGTGTCATTCCGTGTCAAGTGTGTCCCTCTGTGGCAGATGAACCAATTCTACAGCCTCATTTCCTACCACATTTGGTAAGTGTTTCAGGGAAATGGAATTGGTTCTTGACCTTGATTCTGCTTTACCTCAATCCAAAATCCTGTTTTGCAGACCGTCTTTCTCCTTTTCTATAATAAACTATGACATATGGTGTTGCGGTCACTGTCGCTAAGATGCTCCACCACTGCCACCTCGAATACCAGTCCAGCTCCATTCCCCAGATTTAGATCTGGCACCACACTGTCCCTTGTTGGAGCATCTCCTGAATACAGTTCAAAAAATCTGCCCCCTGTAAAACCTTTGTACTATGATTAGCCCAATTCATGTTGGGGTAGTGGAATCCCCCTAATATAATGGCCCTATTATTGTTTTTTACAGCCTTGGTGAATTGCCAACATATCTGCTCTTCTATTGCTGACTGACTGTTTGGGGGCCTCTAAATCACTCCTAACAGTTTAACTGCCCCCTTTTTATTCCTAAATTCTACCTATCAAGCCTCATTTGATGATCCTTCCTAGATATCATCCCTCCTTACTGTAGTAACTGATTCCCTAACTAATAATACACTACTTCCATGTTCAGATCCCTCCCTGTCCTTCCTGAAGATCCTACACCCAGGAATGTTGAGTTGGCAGTCCTGTCCCTTCCTCAACCATGTCTCTGTGATGGTA